TGAACTTTAGTAAGCTTGGCTTCAATATTTGTTTCTGAGGTGTAGATGAAAGACCATTTGACCTGAATGTCTTCCTCTTTGGATTTCATTGAAAGTTTCAGCTGTTGATAAAACAAATTATTAAAACTGCTACTTCAGTTTTGTAGATACAAACAAACAGATTCATTGAATTGCAGGCATTTTCTTTATAGTTAAACTTTACTTATGACAATTGTTATATGTTAATAAATCAGCTTACCCTGCTGATATTTAGATTTTGTGTTTTCTAAATCCTGGGCCATAGCCATCCCCAATAATTATTTAATAGAACATTTTCTCCATATTTCCATTTGCAATTTTTGGGCTTACTCAAGCCATTGTTTGCTGGTTCAGATTAGGTCATGTTAAGATATACAATAAAGATCACTGGCTGCACTATTCCCTTTGCACAAGAGGCAAAATAAGAGTGGAAGCAGCATGTAATTATAGGTTTTCTGTTACATAACAGGTTCCCAATAATCCATAATATAATACAAGAAATGAGGAAATCATTCATCTCCTTTTCACACTCCCCAGTCTCCTAGGATCCCAAAAAAGATTTCTGGGCATGGGGAGATTACCAGAACTGTTACCCAAAAGCCTCCCACCAACTCCCTGGAAAATGGCAAAATGTCAGCCGAAATTGAAACCTGAAGTGACATCATGTTTCACACCACTTATGGTGTTTAAAGCTTAAAGTTTAAAGTTTAAAGCTCGCTTTTATACACTGGCTTGTTTGAAAGCCATTAACTTTGGCTGTTCATTAGGAATGTGCATGTGATTTAACTGACATTTAAATTCTGAAGCAGATCAGTTTGATGCAATCTGGAATGTGCCTGGCTCAAATTCCATTGGACCAAATAGATTTCCAGAGCACTACCTCAAAAGGCTCCAACATTTTCTGGGTCACTCTGAAATAATGGACACTTCAGTACAAGGAGAGAAAAAAATGGGGAAATATGGTATTATGGGAAGGAGCTGGAGTGCAAATAGAGTGGTAGGTTTAGATTCCCACACATGGCAAGAAAATGTGTTACTATTTTCTGGCAATTCCAACCACGGCTTTTATAGGCATGGTTTCTGTGTTATTTCACTGGAATTTATATTTCACACTTTTTGCCGTTACTTAACTTGGAATTCAGCAGAGAAACTGAAATTAGAAGGACTGATTTGAGAAAACATTAAGAGCTCTATGTGTTTGCATTATTTGTTTCTTGTGAACTCAAGGAAGCTGGGGATGTTCATTTATTTTCACTCTTCCTCTGTTTGCACATGTGTATGCCTTTGTGAGATTTTTCTCATTTTTACAAGTCTTAATTTATATTTTCTGGTTCATGTATGCATATGCATACACCTTTTAAGAGCACAAGATATTTTTCCCCTCATTCCTCCCAAGCTTAAATTTTCAACAGTTTTGGTGATCAAATCCTGTTCCTGTCTAGGAGAGAATGTCATTTAGAGAATGAAGAAAAGTATGTACCGTATGTTTGTTAAAGGACCCACTTAATTTTTTTATTTCACTTTCACTTTCACTACTACTAGGGTACTGTATAGTTCAGGGGTTGGCAACCTTTTTGAGCTGGGGGCCGGTTCGGGTTTCCTCCGGACATCGGAGGGCCGGAGGGAAAAAAACAACAACCACCTGCACCGGGCCTCAGAAAGGCCCAGCACGGTTGCGGGGGTCCCCCAGGAGGGCTCCCTCAACTGCACCGGGCCTCAGAGAGGCCCAGCGCGGCCGTGGGGGTCCTCCGGGGTGCCATTTTGTGTTCCAAGGGTCAGGATGGGAAAGGTCACGTGAGACTCCGGCCGCCATTTCAGAACACAAAATGGTGCCCCAGAGGATCCCCGCAGCTGCGAAAGGCAGCGGCGGTGGCAGTGGCAGCAGCAGGACCGGGCAGGGGCCGGTCGGAAGGCCTCGGCAGGCCGGGTGCGGCCCCCAAGCCATAGGTTGCCGACCCCAGTATAGTTGCTTGAGGTTTAGCCACTCCCTTTTACATTTCCTCCAGCCTCAGCACTCATTATTTAGGGTTCTGCTTTTTACTGAGAAATGTAACCACTAAATAAAAACTATTTTGCAATTCTGGATTAACATATTGGTCAAGACAGATGGGTGACACAGCCTTGTTTCCTAAAGTAGAACATACAACATATTCAGAGATACCCTGACACATTTGTTTAACCAGGTTAATTAAGAAGTAGATTTAAAATGGAACTTTAAAGCTACCTAAACATGAAAAATTCCAAAATTACTTGTCTGTAGTGTTAATGTTCTCTTCAGGGTGCATCATTCTTCAAGGATTGATACAGATATGCTGATTTACTAACAGAAGTGAATGTGAGGAGCAATCCAGATTCCCAAATCATCATCTGAAGTGTGGATCACGTAATATTCTAGATCAGGGGTTCCCAACTCGCGGAGCCCTTATTTCTATGGCAGAGCCCCTAATAAGCCTACCCTATGTCTTACAAGTTAACGGTGTTTAGGAGTATATATAAGAATATATTCTTATTCTTTAATTTCATTCAATTTTTATTTCTTTCATTTTCCTGCACCAGCCACAGAGCATCTGGGAAGTATATGCGGAGCCCTAAGGGCCCTTGGAGCACAGGTTGAGAACCCCTGTTCTAGATTATTAGACTAGACACCAGATTGGAAAGGAGGGCCCATGGATAGTTCTGTTTCCTATCATATTCAAACCAGGGAACTATGATTAACTGCAATTTTCTGTCATTTTGTTCTGTTTTGGCTTTTCTACACAGCAAGGAAGGAATGAAGTTGCTGCATGCAGGTGCCTCAATCTTGATTGCTGAAAACAGGCCAAACTGGAAACCTATGTTTGACTTTACATCAAAGTATTATATCTAGGCTTGAATGCAGGGACAGGAGACAGAAGCTGAACCTATAACTTGTTCCTGCTCCTCCAAACAATGCTGTAGAGAGCTATTTGAATGTATGCAATATTAATCCTGAAGGCGTTTGACTTACAGGAATACCTAGGCTAATTTATAGCAATTATGTACAGAAATATAATAATTTGTTCTTGAACTTAATAGAAAATCTCTCAAGTAAAGTTTGAACATTACCTTCAAGTAAAGTGGAGACAGCTTTACATTGTAAGACTGACATTCTGTGGTAACAGGTGAAGTATGGGACACACTAACAATAAAATGAAAGGCATTTCCGACTACAGTACAAGAGATTACCTGAAACAAGAATGAAACAGGGCTTTATAAAGGACCACATATATAAAGTAAATAATTTTGTGCATTTATTTGACTGACTGACATTCATTGAGACCAGATTCCAGGTCTTGATATGGCAATAAATTTGGTTCACATAAGGAAAAGACAGCACATCCTCCTCCCAGGTACAGCCAAAGCCATGCTACTATCTGAAATCCTCAAACAACAGCTATCCATCAGGGTGCCTGCACCCAACCAGTCCATGGATCATCTGCTGCTGGCAGCACTCACATCATCCCTTTATCCATCAAGTTCAGCTTACATGACCCGAGCAACAGTAGCATCTTGGAGAGAGAAGCACTAGAAATGGCAGCAGACAGATACCATTGGAAAGCCCCAAAATGCAATGCTCAGTGTGACATTATCACATAAGATACCATACTAACTTTTTTGCTGTGGCTGTTGTTTTAACGGTAGGTAATGCTTATGCTGATGCGCTAGTGCTGAGCAGTTTTAAAAGTATGACTGGCTGGTGGTTGTGGAGGCAAGCTCAACAGGTAGTTGTAAGGAGATACATGCTTGATCCACCACCTTTCCCAACACCCTGCTGGAGACAAAAGGCTCACAAGTCTCAGGATAAGGTCAGTGCTACCCCCTCCACTTGTTGTGGGTAAAACAGGAAACAGAGACCCTTGAATCAGGAAAAATTG